CCAACCAAACCCGAAAAGAATTACCTCTTTTTATACTTATTTTATAAATATATATTGAAATTAATAAACTATAATTTTACTCATTTTTTTTTCAATAAATATTATAAAATATATTTAATGTACGCACAAATCCGACGCACACATAACGTACATCAACAATTTATTCGCATTACGGAAAAACAACGTACAATAATTACAATGTATTAAGTTAGGTTATATGGTGAGTGAAAAAAAAATGTGTCCCATCAAGACGCTAATTCTATAAGGAATATATTTATTTACAATTACACTGAATACGTTTGATCGCGATTAAGAATGGTATGAATCGTATTGCGCTACTCAACATGAAACGTTTCAATATTGTTACGATAACATATTTTATTCGACAGACGTTCGCACGGTAAACCCGTAACCTAAGCGATTGGGTACATTTCAGCTCGGCGATGATTCACACATCCTATGCAACACATCTTTTCCACGAAAACGTTTCTGCGATCCCGTAGATCTTATGAAATTTGACGTACCCGCCAGTAAACCGATTACGTACTCGGCGAATAAATTTGTCTTCCATTTCCCGAACGGTTGCGTCGAGAAGGAGAAAACAATAATACAATAAAAATCGAACGCGTCCCACGGCGTATAAATACAATTGCATTACGCCGACGACGACGACAAGGTGGAAATAATAAGACATATAACAATATTCGACGATATCGATTTCGCGACAAAAATCGACATTTGGATAGTGAACAGGATGTCGCGGACCCAGTGGCGTCCCGAACGTAGGTCACAATAAAACCTGAGTAAAAAGTTTGAAATCGATTGGTGGTCGAATAGGTAAAAAATGTGATCTGTAGTGAATATAATTTTAGATGACTTATTGAACTCTACGCCTTTAATTCAGTACACGACTCGAAATTAACTCTTCGATAACATTTTTAATACAGCGGATCTTATTTCGAATTCATTTTTTAAAGATACGCATACATATTTGTTCAATGTTATAACATCATAGGAGACGAACGAATGTAGTTTTTATCTTCAGAAATATCATCAAAAATAGCCCGTTTTATGTATTACAGCGCTGTAAGATTTGTAGCATTAGGGAGTCTAGGATCTAGGAAATTTGAGTGAATTAAAATGCATCGCCCTTACGTGGGTGGAAGTACGGAGTGTGTTCATGACTTTTATAATTTTTCATAAACTTAAGAGCGCCCTTATACCCTTATACAAACAACGCCTGGAGCAAACATACCAATTTGCTTCCTCCTCGATCCGGCACTGAGTATAGGTATGACATATACAGGATACTAGCGACCCGACCACAACTGGTTGTTTTCTCCACAATAAACAATTTGAAGTTGTCATCGGTTTAAAAATATACTATTATAAGGGTTTATGGAGGATGATAATCAAGAAAATATACCTCATCAAACCCGTATTAAAAATAACATGGTTAATGTGCAGGGACGCCCGGATGGGGGGGGCCAGTAGGGGCCATTGCCCCCCTTGAGATTTTCGCGTCACTTACAAAATTGGAAGTTATTTTACATAAAGCTGATCTTGGGTATTCAGTGACTATTCGACAATCCTTGTATCTAACAAGTATCTAACATTTTTTTAATCAACAAATGATGATTCAATTAATTTATTTGCTTCAAACAAAAGGAGATTGTCATTACTTTTTGAATAAAATAATAAAATATGATGCGAATTCAATCAAATAAAGTTGTTTTTTGTTTAAACTTTATTATATTTTTTCTTATAAATATTAAAACTAATAACTAATAATGTAATTTTATATAAACTTAAATGACTTTTGATTTTTAAAAAATTATTAATGATAGTAATACAAAATATGAGTAGATGAAATATGTAGCAGTAAATCTTCCTATAAGTATTTAGGTACTTACAATTTTTTTGCCCCCCCTGAGCTACATTTCTGTGGGCGTCCCTGCTAATGTGATATACCTCGATAGTCAGGGGCGCAATTTCAATGAAAAAACTAGAGGTACTGAAGCCCTTCCATATTTTTCATGCTCCTTAATGGTTATAGACATCCACAACCCGTGCAATTCAACAGTTATTAAAATATTTGGTAAGTATATAAATATTTCTAAATTTAAATTGTTCACTTTTGTTTTTTCCCCCTATTAACAGAGCACTAGTTTCCTGTAATAATTTACAAACCAAATTTGATATTTTTAATTCCTCTCAAAAAGCGATACAAATTAATATATTTTTTTTCTATTCTAATATATTGTATACAAACTAATTCAACCAAAGTGTAAATATATTTACTTGATATTGTTGTATTTAATGTTAGACACTTAAATTATGTATATTTTTTATCCAACTAATATAAGTATTTAATTATTCTATACTGATTGCCTTCGGGTGTGTACTTCAGAAAAAAAATAAATATTTTTGTTTATAAAATACGATATGATTATTCCAAAACAAAAAGGAATGATAACTTATGTAACTCTTAGTTATGTTAATGAATGTTGCTGTTTGTTGCAATACATATATTTGTGATGAGATTTTATTTAAGTACCTATCCAATACCCATAGTGCCCACACGCCGTGACGATTAACCAAGACTAATCTACGATGAACTCAAATTGTATATGCAGGGGCTCAATTTTAATGAAAAAACTGGGGGTGCTGAAGCCCTTTTATCTTTTCATGTTCCTTAATAGTTATAGACACCCGCAAACCGTACAATTCAACAGTTACCAAAATATTTGGTAAATATATGAATATTTCTAAATTTAAATTGTTTCCTTTGATTTTATATTTTTATTGCGCAAATAACGAATTACCTCTCTGTAAACACAAATGTTTCAACACATGATTACTTTTAGATTCTTATTGAAGCGAAGGATATTATGATTTTATAATGATGTTTGTATTTGATTTTTTTAACACTTTCAGATAGAAATACTGGTCAAAAAGTTTTTTTCTAGGACCTTTTTTAGATTTTAAATTGGCATGCAGTGGTACTTTAGATAAATCATTTTTTTTAAATCTTAAGAGTTTTTCCAGAAGTGAAAAAAAAATTATATATTTATACAATAAAAACTTTGTTTTTCCATACATAATGAGTAATGAGTATTTAAATGTAAATTAACATCAACACATTTGAGGGTACTTATTTCGAAAATGGAGGTGCAAAGTACACCTAAGCTCCCTTCTCCAAAATGCATCTATGCCTATAGTGCTATCATTGATAAAATATCATAAATTATGGTAAATATAATAAATATTTTAGTATACTTGATCAATGATGCAATTTAAAATCAATTGGGAAATTAATATTAACTTCATATAGTTTAAAAAAAGTCAATGTACTTTTTTACTTAGAATATGGAACACATAAAGTGATTGTGTTTTTGCTGATTTCTTAAATTAAAATACTTAAACAATTATATTAAACTTAAACCATAAACTACAGTATACAGTGTAACATAAAAACATTTAAATGTATATGATTATTAAATAGGTATTCAAACTATAAACAGCACAAAATAAAAATAAAATGTATTTCCCTATATCTAGAAATGCCTATCAATATTTGCCTATCCACATAAAAAATTATTCTATCGAGAAAAAAATAATAGAAAGATTTGTATTAATATAATATAGGAATATTTAAAAACAGTTTTAAATTTTAACTCTATGGATTATTATAAAATCAACTGAGAAAAGTTAAATTATTTCAACAGTTAAATGAACTAATTAAGTTCTTAAGTTGATTTAAAAATTAACAAACTAGTTAAGTAGTTAAAAAATTTACTTTTTAACTTGGCTTTAACTTTAAAATTACATAATGTTCACCATTGGCACTATTACTCAAATAACAAAACTAAAATAAGCTGCCTGGACCAAAACAATATTTATAAACTTCCAACTCACAAAGTTAACAACAAATGCAATCAGATCTCTATGGTAGTTTATTGTACACTTGTTTTTAATGGAATTCAAAAATAATTGATATTATACTCATGTAACATTAATCCTTAAATTCAATAATTTTGATAGTTACCTTACATACATTTTTGTTCAAAAACTAGTTAAACATGCCACTACTTAACTTAATAATGCAATTGTAAAACAATCATTAACAGCAATAATTTATACTAACAATTATAGAACTTAATATTCAAATATTATTTTATTTTTGTTAAAACAATATTTACATTTGAATGGACTAATAACTATGCATAGTTAGGATGATACTTATTTATAAGTCACTAAAGCTACTCAAAATCATACTTCCAAAAAAGGAATTTGATCGAATCAATTTCTGAAAAATGATTTTAATAGACTATTACTATTGTTATTCTTAATAAAAATAAATATAATATGCAAATCTTGTATATATAATACAAACCTAACATTAAAAATAAAAATGATATAAAAAAAAAACTGATGAAACATCAATATTAAAATATAACATATGAGTTAAACTTATCAAAATTAAAGATAAGACAATGGTATTAGCTGACATAATCAAGTGTCTTAGTAACTAAGGGCACTGGACTATCCGCAAACATCTGGTGGAAAACATAATATAATTTTATTCGCCAAGCTGGAAAAAACGACGTATTAAAACACATTAACACTAATCAAAGTGAGAGACCTAAGTACAATGCTGTATCCTTTTATAGATTATATTTTCGTAAAAATGTCAAACGTTCATCCGATCATAAGTAACCTAAAAGAGTGATATTTGCCTCTACTTGCTTTCAAAGACGAATCCAGCGTTTATTTACGGTCAGGGAACTTTATAGGAGAAATATAGCTAATCGTAGGCATACGTAAGGGAGATGTCTTGGGAGGGGGGCTAAGACCTTCAAAAAATAATGTGTGACAATATTGCACTAACACTGTCATAGTCTATTTTTATAATCTATTATTCCGTTGTTCTAAATATACTTTGTAAAGTAATTTTGTCCGTTGGTTTCCTAATGCGGACACGTTTAAACGCTACGTACTGGATATGACGGCATTGTTGAACACGGACAAACGGTCTCCTTCGCGCACATCAATGACGCACACCTTCTGCGTTCGACAGTACTCCAGCAGCAACGTCCTCCAAGCTTCCAACTGCTTCTTCCTTGTTTCCGCATTCGGCTGGATCCTGGGCGCACCAAGAAAAAGCGAAATTAATTACCAAACACGGTTCTTCCAACGGATGTCCCCGTTCACTGTTTCCTTACGTGAAGAACGGCGGAAAACTGTACTGCCACGGCCACTGGACTTCGCCCATGTCTGTATCACGTGCACGCGAACATGTAGCCGACTGTGATTCGGGAACCGACACGACGAGAATTCAACGCGTTTCGGTTCAAAAACATTCCGTATCAGTTCTGATGAATCGACCGTCTATCAGTATACCGTCACCTAATCTCTTTTCTATGGTCTATCAGCGTTCGGCACCATGATAATGGACTACCAGTCGCAGAAAAGATATCTTCTATAACTTAGATAACTAGGGACGTGGTATCAATTGAAAAGTATCGATACTTTTACTTGGTAGCGAAACGAATGAAAATACCGATATGGGAAAAATATCGAAATAAAAGGACCGACATGAGTAAATATCGAATGAAAAGTAATGATCCTTTTACTTCGTCGTATCGAATCGGTTTAAAATAATGATAAGAGTAAAAATATAAAAACGACAGATATGAATAATCGATCCGATTAAGAGGAAACCTATTGACGCTATTCTATTATGGACTGTGGTTTTTGATCCGTGGATATAAACGTATGAAGTATAGACTATAGAGTGATGACTGTCATAAGTAAATAAATCCACCACCGTGCCCACAAACTATTTTACTAGAAAGTAATTATTGTACGATACCATTCGAGTATTTTGATTTTTTAACCATATTGGCGGTTAATAATTGATTCAATATTTTGTACATTTCATTCCAGTATTTTCTTAACAATATAAGTATCAAAACCATGCTATAGAAAACAAAAAGTACTTGTAACAAAAGAAAAGTATCTATAGTTTATGGAATCGGTAGTATAGCAACATTCATAATCACGTGATCTCTTCCTTAAATTGTTGTCTTTTCGTGGACGCCATTAGTATGATTATGTTGCTGTGATGTTTTAAATATCATGTTTCCTCGTTAACCAAACTTGTCCAACTATATTTCATAGTGGCCCATCTATAGGTCAGTGACTAAGTGTACCTTTTGGCCAGTAGAAGAAGAACAAGGCCGAAACATCACACATGGTATGCCAGAACTTGCATCCTATTCTCTCTATATCCGATTTTATAATTTTTTTAACTTCATTAACGACAAAAATGTCAAATCGTCAGCATAATGACAACTTGAAATAATTAATGTAAATATCAAAGTTTATCTTACATTTAAATAAGAAATAAATATATATATTTATTATACCATACAAGGTAAAAATACAATTAAATAATTTTATATCCTCCTTAAACCATGTACAACAATTATTGATCAATAATTTTTTTCAGAAATGCTCCTGTGCAGAGTATCCTTGATGCAGTGATATAGCATTTGGCAGGTAGTGGTGTATTATGTAACCAGAGTGATCTAGCAGTAGTGATAATATTGAATTAAATTATTATTATTCGATTATTAAATGAGAGTAATATTACAAAGATTAAAAATTTATTTAAAATTTTTAAACTTGATTTATAATGAATAGTTAGATATAAAGTAGTAATTTAAATATTTCATTAGATTTTTATAATATTATAAGTCAATTAAAAAATTATAATATTTATAAGTTTTAAAATGAAAACGTAAAAATTATAAGGGGATCCACAGCTCCTGGTGGAATTTAGATTTAGGTAGATGAAAATAAAATAAATTAATTAATTAAAATTAGAAAAAAATAAGATTGATTAATTTCAATTGAATTATATTTAATAATGAAGAACTTGATTTATTAAGAGTTAAAATTATAAGTTAATTTCAATCATAAGATTCAAGAGTTTTAAGATATTATATGTAAAATAAATGAATATGATTATTCTAGCATTAAATATTTCGAGTGTAAAATTCAAAAATAAAACTGAAAAGGGGATCCCCGGCTCCCGGAGGGAAATTGATTTGGGTCGATCCAAAAAAAAAATCCTGGTTCTGAAAAAGAAACATAAAAAAAAATGATTTAAAATTTGAATATTTTGAAACAAAATAAGATTGATTGATTTAAATTGAATTATATTTTACATTTATGAGCACAATTTATTAGAAATTTATTATTATTAGTTAATTTTAATCAAATGATTTAAATGTTTCAAGATATTTGATGTAAATTAAAAGAATTTGAATTTTATTCCATTAAACATTTAATGTATAAAATTCAACAAAAGATTTTATAAATGG